AACATGAAATCGGACGTCGTATTCGTGACCATATCGACTCAGAATATGGTTGGACGTCTTCATCATTCGTCGAGCGGGCTGGGCTGGAGCAGCTGGAGCTTGTTTCATGATCACTCACGACCATTCGAATTAAATCCACATCTTGTGCAGCAGTGCAGATGATGCAGAAGGTGAGCAGAAGTTTTGATCCACTATTTAGTCTAGCAGGACTGAGGACGAAATGCTTGCACCTTCTTGAGGAAGTTTCTAGCCACCTAGTCCTACCGCTTCGGGAGGAGGAGGCAAGATCGCCCCCAGCGCCTTGAGTATCTGAGAAGAAAGCTTCCAGCTTGACATCTTTGATGGAGGCCAGCTCCAGCTTTGACTTCATGTGGAGCTGCACGCAAGACTCAATATTCAACCGAAAGGAAACATTCAAATCACAAGATATTTCCATAATATCACACAGTTGTAAATGTTGTATTTTCCGCAAAGTAGACGTTGGCTTCTGTTTGAGAACCAGTTGAAATTAATCTGTGATGACTGCAGTTTTCAGCAAGAGCTGAATTATGTACCCCATTGTTTTGAATGTGTTGGATTGAGAATGGTTCTTAGCAATTGATGAAAAAAATGTAATTTTTGAGATTTTTTTGAGGCCACAAATGTTTGAAATGCAGTAAAATAAGGGCAAGAGAAGAGGAAAATTCACCAGAGTATGTGCATTTAGCTTAACTGTAGCTCTTGTGCTCATATGTAAAATTTGACTTATAATTACTATGGCTTTGGAAGCCTACAGCTGCACTCAACAATTTTCTTGGTCAGTTGATGTCCAAAGCCAAGGCGGAGAGTTTGGTTGATGGGTGCACCTTTTTTTAACTATGAGTCAAAAATTATTAGATCAATGTGTGGACCTGTTAGATAGCTGATAAATTAACAGAACTTAACCCAAGGAGAAATTAAAAAGTATGGAAAAAGAGTAAATGTTGTTGGGTTACACATATGCATATAGATCATATGTTATATGCTTCAATCAAAACCTAAGTAATCTTGTATTTAGCTCACACCAGATTACTGTAGTTGTTTTTCCTCCAGTGAATCAAAACCATATTTTCTCACTCACAAAGTGTCACTGGCTTGTCAGCCGTGAACTTTGGATTTTTCCCTTGCGTCTCACGCAACAAATGTTTTGACAGATGATGAAGAATATGTTAAAACTGAAACTGCATCCAAAAAAGACTGAAAGATTTATGATGAGTATACGTTTATCATCTAAGAATATCCCTAATGAAATCTGGGCTTAAGGTTTTAGGATGAAGATGAGAGAGAGGGTCTGAATCAACTCTGTGGGCACTTTTATGTGGAGGACAAAAGTGGGCTAGTGGGCTACTCTTTAAAATGAGGAGAACCAATGTAGTTTATTTCTTGTTAGCTAGCCTGATTAAGTAGGAGAGATACAAGAGGTCTAGTTGTGGTTTGGGAGAAATGCAAGAATATTCTAGAAGCTAATGATCTAGAGTGTCACAGAGAAAACACAGACAATGATAAACTCACACAAGAAGATAAGAAAGAAACTTAGAGTGCCAATAAGATCTTTATGCCAGGGTTCAAGACTACAAGGAAGAGACAACAGACAGCATAGCTAACAGACATATCAGACTATTCTATTTGGGTGCCATGGACATGATTCTAGAAACTAATTCTAAATCAGATGCACTAGCTAGGTAAAAACTGGGCTAAGTAAAATAGAGACAAGATGCAACAATCCCTGAGTTGGATTAGTGACTTCACAGATAGTTCACACAGCTATGAAAAAACTGCTCCTATCTTTACCCCCTCATCACATTTTCTATGGGATGATCAAGTGTATCTTCCAATGAAGAGGAGAAGATTTGCATAAGTGGGGAAAAGACTTGTGAGAATGCTTTGCAAATAATTATACACATCCTGTGGAGGATTTTCCAATATGAATTTATGAAAACAAGGGGAGACTTTTTCTTTTAGGCCTGAATGTCCATTATACTGTTGTTTAAATTGGAAGTTGACTAATAATTTAGCTACACTTCCAGTTCAGAGCTACGAACATGTTGCACACTTTCAAACTTGGTAGAGCATACTTTGGAGGCCCTGTGGCCAAATTGTGTCATTTGGTCTCAGATTTGCTGTTCTTCACTCACAACTGGTGTTGCCTATGTCCGCTCCCAGTGCCTCCCGCATTCGTATTGTAACACACTCTTCCTTTCTCTCAAGAAGCGAAGACACAAATTGATGAGATCAATCATGAATCATACTTTGTACAATGGGGAAATGTCCGCTCAAATCCCCCTGACATTCGAGAAAGCGCGCTGAAATCGAAGACTTGGAATTGCACAAAGAGAGTTGCCATGACAAGAGGGTGGGACTGATTAACTTCGTACCACAATGGCTTCCTGGATGCAATCGTCCAGTCCAAGTGCCCTGCATCACTCATGCCCACCGGTCTTACTGTGCAATTTCTACGCCTTTCAAAGGATTTGTCCAATGGATGGAATACATATTCTTTTGAAGTACAATAATATTCCTTTACTCTTGATCAGGCTCTAGACATTTGGTAACATGTAAGTGTATTTGGGCATATTTCTAGGATCAAACTGTTTTTTGCTGGCTCTTTTGTTTGACTAGCCGCGGAAGATCACATATCTTTCAACAGCTTTCACCATGCATATTGTCTTTTCGGAAAATCTTGGACATTCCAGTTAGTAAGTCACATCTGGCATCACATATTTTTTTTTTTTTTCCATTTTTTTTAACCTAGTTTTTGCCAGACACGCCTGTGAATTCTTTTTTTATCGTGCAACTCTGAACTTGCAAGACATGCATCACCAATGTCCGGCGCTCTATTTGCCTATCAATACCTATACCCTCCTTCCTCACCGGTCCCGGCTCACTCCCTACTGACTACACTCAAGCTTAGATCAATACCTCATTGGATGATACCATGCCCGGCACCGTTGGCTCAATTCAGCAGCTCCAACATCCCTCTCCTTTGCTAGATCAGCACCCATCATCCAAGCCATGCGGATCCATGCACCCATCCATTACGGCACTCATTACGGCACTCATCCAGCACTCATCCATACAATGCACGGTGTGATTGATCAGATGCTTGACCGGACACAGCTAGGTAAGACCTGAAATCTTGGATATATTTAAGGAACTAACTAACAGTGGTTTTTCCCTCAACAGAACTCACCCAACTCCCAGGCCTTACTGTCCATTCTACGAAGTCTTACCGTTATCCATATACTACTAGCAGCGTAACAGTTATGAGTTTTCCCGAGTCAAACCCTTACACTATGACCGATCCAGTCTTACCATTCATGAACACTGATAATTTTGTTAATGATGATAGTGTCTCTTATTTTGATTCATCAACCACAATCGGTAATACTTCACCTCAATTTGACTCAACCACCGGTTTTTCTGTTCTTGGTCCAGCACCTCCTCTTGATTTTGAGTGCAAGATTAACTTCACCATATACTGTAGCGAAAAGACTAAATCGAACAAGACCAATTGGGTCGCACTAAAACCTCTTTCCGATCTTTCTCTTACTTTCAACACACGTGACACCTTAACTTGGCCCGCCTTCCTTGATTTGATTGCTAACAAGTGCAATGAGGATTACGCTAACATTAGCAGGATGATCACCGACGGTACCAACAGCTCACCTGCAAAAATTGTCTGGACCGCTTACATCTTGAAAAATAAACGATTCCCGAAAGTCAATCCCCACCACATCTTTGATCTGGTGTCGTTCAGCCAATGGTTTAATGAAATCAGCTTATCTCGCTCAACAAACGGTGGTGTAATCATCCGAATGGATAACCCTCGCAACGAGGTCTCGAAGGCTCGTAAGGAAGATCTCCTTGCAAGAACGATGAAACGACTTGATGCTCGTCAACAAGGGCCATCCCAGGGCCGGTCCCAAAGGGCCCGTGGTACTTCACCCAATGGAAGCGACGAGGTATTTATCCATTTGTCAGACTGTTTTGATAATATCAGGCTGATCCATGGCCGATGCTCTGAGCAGGAAGACTCCAGTGGGCCTGAATTTGAGGACCTCGAGGTGTATTCCGACCAGATTTTCGAAAAATATCCGATGAACACCAAATATAATCGACATTATCCGGTGTATCTTGATCCTACCAATCCTGATCGTTACATTCTCCTTACTTCAGGTAATGTTGACATATGGGCAAAAGATCTGGTGAGCTCATGATTTGATTTCAACTCCTCATAATAAAAATGTCTGACACAATAAAAAACTTGGTCAGTGTTCCCGTGTACCTGGTGTTAGCCTGGTCTCACCTCCTAGTTCAATCAAGTACCAAAGCCGCAAGCAGACCGAGAAAGAAAAGGCACCATCAACGGTCGAATCTTCAAGCACTGCCTCTCTTGTAGAGTTGACCAAGTGGCTCATCGAACAAAAAAATGGCATGCCTCGATCTTCCCCACCATCTTCAGTATGCGGTGATACAACCACAACCGTCGATATAGGTGACTACTTAAACTTTGTGTGCATTGCTCCTAACAAGCGCGAAGGGATACGCAACACCTTACTTCACAACGACATCGACTGTTACAAGATGTTCAAAAATCTCGTGGTGGATGATTTGAAGGCCCTTGGTTTCAATGTAGGTATCATAACCAAGCTCCGAAGCAATGTTACTAGATACCGAGCTCATTTAGCCAGGTCTGGCTAAATCAACCCATCCGGTCTTCAATCTCTTGTCTCGTTCTTCCATCCCTTGGCTTGGTCTGCTGTCTGCTGTCTGCTATCTATCTCCCATCTGTAGTCTCGGTCTCGGTCTTCTGTCTTCTGTCTGCTGTCTGCTGTCTGCAATATCCCATATCGTCTCGGTCTTCCATCTCATGTCTCAGTCTGCTGTCTGTTGTATTGGTATGCTATCTTTCACCTCTTGTCTTGGTCTGTGTCTTGGTCTGCTGTCTGCTGTCTCGGTCTGTTTTCCACTGTCTCCGTATCTTGTCTGCTGTCTGCTGTATGTTGTATTGGTCTGCTATCTCCCATCTCTCTCGGTCTGCTCTCTGCCATCCCTTGTCTCACTCTGCTGTCTGATGTCCCTTGTGCCACTCTGCTGTCTGATGTCTCTTGTATTCTTCGCTATCTACTCTTGTGTCTTGGTCTGCTGTCAAACATGAATGATCGATTGTATGACCATCACTTAGCGCGGACAATTGGAATACCAACAGATTGAGACTTGATTCAATATGCCCGATCGACTCAGAGCACTTAGTCACCAAGTGCCAACACAAGGGAGTAAAGATCCTGGATGACAAGGCAGAAGGACTTTGTCTCATTCATGATCACTGCCATGACATGCAATAAAAATCTCACAGTAATTTCACTCAATCAGTCTCTTTCAACTTGTCATTTTCTTACAGGGCAAAAATTTCATCGGACTTGATAAAACATGCCTTTTTGTAATGTGAAACACTGGGCTATTGGACTTGAAAACATGAGTCAATTGGACTTAGCAGAACATGTTATCACATTTGTGAAAATGAGGACATCTGACTTGAGAACATGAGGCGATCGGACTTAGCAAAACAGGCTATCACATTTGTGCACAGGAGGACATCGGACTTGAGAACACAAGGCTATCAGACTTGGAAAACACAGGCTATCGGACTTGAGAACACAAGGCTATCAGACTTGAAAAACACAGGCTATCGGACTTGAGAACACAAGGCTATCGGACTTGAGAACACAAGGCTATCAGACTTGAGAACATGACACTATCAGACTTGAGAACATAAGGCTATCGGACTTGATAAAAACAGGCTATTGGACTTGAGAAAAACAGGCTATCGGTCTTGAGAAGAACAGGCTATAAGAACAGGCTATTGGACTTGAGAACATGACTATCGGTCTTGAGAAGAACAGGCTATAAGAACAGGCTATTGGACTTGAGAACATGACTATCGGACTTGAGAACATAAGGCTAGAAGAAGACTTGAGAAGAACACGCTATCGGTCTTGAGAACATAGGGCTATCGGTCTTGAGAAAAACAGGCTATTGGACTTGAGAACATGAGGCTATCAGACTTGAGTAAAACAGGCTATCGGACTTAAAAGCAGACTATCGGAGTTGAGCAAATGATACTAATTGTCCTCAACATCAATCTCTTGAATCGATCCGGCAGTAGGGCAGTCGTATCCCGCATGACGGTAGAGTTCATGGCACAAAGTAGAGGAAACAACATTGTTAGTTGTTCTTCGAATCGTCCAAGCAGGGTCAAGACTGTTGACTAAGGCTTGAGTGCGGCGGAGATTGCTTTTAACTTGTGAAAAGCAGACTTCGATTGGATTTAACTCCGGGCAGTACGGGGGGAGATAAACGAGTTTGACACCAGCTTCACGACATAACCTAGCGATTTTACCACCTCGGTGTATCCTGGCATTGTCCATCACCAAGACAGATTTGACCGCTGGGTAAGGATTCATACGAGGGAGCTGTTAAACAATTGCCATTGTCATAAATTAGTATCGGAGACAAAATCAAATCATTAAAGAATGAAACTCACCAGATTGAATTTCAAGAAGTGCTCAAAGTCACGTCTTTTGAAAGTGTGCTCGGTTATTTTCATTGTAAGGACACCTTCGTAACAGATTCCTGGGACTAATGTGAATCGCTTCGGGTTCTGTTCGATTTGGTAACGAACCGAAGAAGATCCTTTCCTAGATCTAGAGAACGATCTCAAAAGATCTCGAGAGCAGATGCCTGACTCGTCTTCAAGAAAAAGATACACACAAAATGGTCAGATTCTGTAATCAAGATCTGACAGTGATCTTACGCTTACCAGTAAAAACAAGAAACTCAGCCGGTACATCAGCCATTTTGGCGACAAATCGAAACTTAGCGGTTAAGTTTTTGCGGATGTTGACAGTGTCTGGTTTCTTCAAGGTGATGTTAAGTTTATCAACCAGCGTCTCGTGGAGGCTCGATATCCCCAAAAGTGTGCCCCTGGAGTCGAACAGGCGCTCTTGCAACTCATCAAGGAACAGGCCTGGTTCCGTGCGTACAAGTTCAAGCATGAATTCTCGGTCCTCAGCTGATAATAACGAATTTCGACCTTGAACCGCATATTCTTCAGGATCACGGACAACTCGTTGGGTTTCACGATATAATTCGTTCCATCGAGTGAACGATTGTCTAGACACAGTGAAACCGAGAGAGTTTCGTATAAAGGTTTGTGAGTGCTTTTGGAGGCTCATTCGAACTGTGGCGATCTTCGTGGAGGCGTCGTATTTTCGAAAGACCATGTTGAGAGAATAAGCTGATTAGAGCTGGGCTGAATAAGGCTGAGGGGCAGGAGGAAAGAGGAAACCGATCGGGCTGAGGGGCAGGAGGAAAGAGGAAACCGGAGGGGAGCTGAGGGGAGAGGGGGTGTGTGGTGGGAGATCACACCAGTATCACCTGTCCTTTTCATTTGAAAGCTTAAAGGACTGATCCTCCTCGATCTCCGGCTGCGTCAGAGACTTGTCCAGGGCAGAAAGCTGCAGCCGGGACAAAACCTCACCCTGCCTGGCCTGTTAAATGCATAATCAAAGATTAATCTTGGATTATCGAGTCCAAGATTTTCCGAAAAGACAATATGTAGAAAGGAAACAAAGGCTTGGAATTACAGGCCCATGGTGCTTGGTATGTATAGAAAGCAGCCGATAACAGACACATGAATCGGGATCAGAAATCATGAGAAGAAAGTTTCCCGGTAATGATAGGGCCGTGATTTTTAGTTTCTGGCTAAGCTCTTTACAAATCTGTTTGTCTGCCCTCGGGTAGTTGTGTCAAGACGAGAAATTTGGTCTGGTATTAATTCTATTTCTGCCCCTCCACCACAAAGAGATCGCGACATGAGTTCGACTGGCCGACATCCCGCATAGCCGGCAAAACCGACAAAGGGCTTTTGGTGGTGCCCCATACTTGACGGTCGTGTGTCTGCTTTCTGACTCGATACACGATATTTTACAAAGGTTTTCGGATCACCACCACTTGAGCATATTAAAATAGAGACTACCAAGAAAAATCGTAGTATTTCCCCCAGTAACAACTTGTTCTATTTTGAACTCTCTGTCAGGTTGAATCTCTTGGGTCATCACGATTGTGTGTGATTTCTCAGTCTTCCCAATTCCCTTTACAGCCGGACATCCTGCGTTGCTTCTCATTCTCAATACAACTCCCCTTTGAAATTACGATTTCCAGCGTCACTTCACGGAAATAGAGGTAAGGAACTCGCGCTTTTTGTGCAAAATATATAGATTGTCAATAGACATCAAGCGCAAGCGTTCATACTTCATACTAGCCATCCCTAACAATAATTCTTTGGCTTCATTTCCCTGTAGGAAATATCCCAATTAGTGCATCCTTAGTCGTCTTGTGTTCGGTAGCCCACCTAGATCCCAAAAGTAAGACAATATGTTCAACAAAAAAAAAAACTTAAACTATCGCTATATAGACTTGCTAGGAGGATCGCCATTTCCTACTTCTTATCTCTAACGTTTTTTTCTCTCCCTCAACTTTGGTCTCAGGGATTAGCGATCCCAATAACCCGAAATTTGGATAAAGCTCTTGGTTTATTTTCGCTTCAAATTTGGTTCTGGTCTAGTTATAAAGACTTTCCACCGTCGCTTTACCTTGTGCCCCTCTCTTTGTGAGTAAAATCTATTCGGTGAAAGTCAAGATGATCGAATTCAATTTCTAAAATCGTTTCGCAACATTTTTCCCGCGCGGTTAGCAGCTCCAAGACACGTTTTCCCCTCAGGAGGCATTTGTTCGACGTTTAAATTGGTTGTTTTTGGTCAGTCAAGTCGTTGCTCACGCTTTGATCGTTTCCTCCTAGACTCTGATTTCAACTTTTCCTTTTTTTTGTGAGGCCACACAGAGACACCATGTCCTCAAGTGTAGAAGACGCCACCGCGATTTCTTGTCCTCGCACCCTTTTGGATAAAGTCGATGAAGTCAGAAAGCTAGGCCTGGCGGACAAAATTCCTTTGCCGCAGATCGCTGTGGTTGGCGATCAATCCAGCGGGAAATCTACTCTACTGGAGTACATCTCCGGGGTAACCTTCCCCAAAGACTCTGGCATGTGCACATGCTTCGTGACGGAAGTGATGATGCGCCCTGCCGAGGAGTTTTCCGCCAGAGTTCTTGTCAATGGCGAAGTTGATTCGCGATTGAAAGTGCCTGAATCCAAGGACGACGTTGCCGCAGTCATCGAGAACGCTAAAGCACTCTTCATGGATGGCGAAAAGCGAGTCATTTATGACGATATCCTGACCGTCGAGTTGAGTGGGCCGGAATTGCCCATGCTCACATTAGTCGATCTTCCTGGCTACGTCCAAACCCACACTCTTGGTCAATCCGAAACTATCGTACAAGAGATCGAAAATCTGGTCGAAAAATATATATCCGAGCCCCGAACTATTATACTAGCAGTAATTCCTGCTACTCGTGATTTCGAAACAAATGTGGCGATAAAATACATCCGCCAATTCGATGAACAGGGGAAAAGGACTTTGTGTGTCCTCACGAAACCGGACCTAGTTGATCGCGGAACTGAAAGCCGAGTATTCGAAACGCTTGCTGGTGACAAGATGCACCTTTCCCGAGGATATCACATCATCAAGAACAAAAGCTATGAAGACTGTCGAGCCGGTGATCCCAGGGAAGAAACCTTGAAGAAAGAGTCTAATTTCTTCGGGCGTGCACCTTGGTCTAGTATCCCTGTCACGGACAGAGGAATCCAAAACTTGATCGAGAAGTTGACTGACACGTTGGTTGATCAAGTTCAGAAGGAATTCTCCGGGATCAAAAAGGACGTCATCCAGCGAAAAGAGAAGCTGTTGCAACAGTTGAAGGCACTCGGGCCTGTGATTGAAACCGATCTCGAAAAAGCAAACTTACTTCAAAAGAATATCAACGAAGTAATGCAGCAGTTCAAGTACTTGGTCGACGGCCACTATGGTGCAGGGGGCTTTGGCCAAGACCTCTACCTCAGATCTCTTGTTCGAGATGTAAGCACTTTTTTGTTTTCCTTATTTCTTTGCCGCTTTCCTGGTCATCGGAATTGGTATTCAACAATATTTTCATTATTTGCTCCTAAGCTCAATGAGGTTTTCAATGCAAGAATTATCCGCATGACAAATTCCACGACGAGTCACTTGGACGTTCGCGAAATCATGAAAGCCACTAGGGGCCGTGAGTTAAGAGGAATGGTTCCGCTTGAAGCCTTCATAATTCTTTGCAGACGCGTAGTCCAAGATTGGTCTTCAGAAACTCACCAACACATAACCGAAGTCTGCCAACTGGCGAGCAACGTTTTTGCGCAAGTGATCGAAAAACGATGCGACAAGGTACTAGTCAATTACTTCTCGGAACGAATGATCGAGTTCGTTGACCAGCAACAAAAAGCCATGCACCACGACGCTCTTGAAATACTCGATGACGAAATCAACCTACCTTCCACACTCCAAGACACGGATTTTGCTAAGAAATGGGGCACTGACGAAAATCCTGAAGACAACCAAATGCGAGAGATTTTGGCAAGTTACTGTTTGACTGCTGCAAGTAGGTATATCGACGCGATCTGCATGTACGTTATCGAGAGAGGTTTGTTCAAAAACTGCGATGTTCGCGGAATCAAATGGTTCATGGACGACCCTTCGGCACTGTCCCGCTTCAGAGAGCCACGACAGAACGGAAGATTACGAGAAATTCTGCCGAAAGAAATCCAAAAATTACAGGATGCAATCTCAAGACTCTGAAGCCCAGCATCTCAAGTTGAAGGTCGATTTCTATTCGAAAATCGACTCTTCTCCACAGCTCAGAATTTAAGGCTGGCTCCGAGCCGAATTGAATTACTCCTCATCTTTCTTTATGACTCTTTACCTCTTCTTACCAAATTTCAGAATTATGATTGAATTGCGCCGCGTTTTTCTTTATTCTTTTTTGACTCCCTACGTCTGCCTCCCTGATCCTATCCTTGTCTCTCAGCCGACTGATGTACCTTGTAAATAGCGTTTCTGTAAGACTGTATCCATGATCGAAAACCTGCGCTTCCAGATTGAAATCCAAAAGTCTTATTTTTGATGTTCTAAGCTTCATTGTGCATCTATTCTTCATTAGGCAATGCCAATGTGATTGTCCGTTTGGCTTGTTAGAGCTTCGAATGCAATGGTTTGCTCTAGGCTGTTCCAAGACCCAAGTGTCATGGCGCATGAATCGCTGTCACATTGCTAGAAGTTTTAGCTCAAGTGTCTGCTCCACCATCAGCACACAACGCGCCTGGAAGCAAATATCTGTCACTCATCACCGCCGGATTCAAAGCACTCTCCAAAAAGTCATTGTCAGCCCGCGTATACACAACCGATCAGCTTTTCCTACTGGAAGCGCTTGAGAGCGGAAGAAGCGTCGTGACAGATATAATCGTGGACTTGGACTGGGCCTGCTTTGAGAGAGTTCCCGCAAGCTTTAGAAGTCGTTCATGACAAAACGTGCGTCATATTCCAGTATTGCACCGCATGATGATTGATCAATGAAGGCACTGTAACCTCACTCATCACGGCACGCCCACACCCCATGCGACGCAAATCCGCTTTTCTTGATGGCCACTTTCCTTGGCGGCGCTCAGATCAGAAACGGAGTCTCGTAACTCGCTTGGTGGAGGAACCATGCACTTTTTTCAACGTGCATGTAGCTCCGAGGACTGGCGAAGTGTTGAAAATCACCAACTTTATTATACATAGCTAGTTTGACATTTTGCCGACTCCAATCCCATGAGAAGTGTCTATCACATTATCATTGTTTTCAATTTATCGCAGTCTCCGAACCTGACGATCCATCGCCACAATGGACCCATTCCAAGCGTGTCAATTTCTCCAGAAATTCATTGGCAAGAGCTCCTCATCGGCGACTGAACTGTTAGGTGAGTAATGACTCTTATCTTAATCTCAGCATTGATAATTTACTCAAAATTGTTTCTCCAATGTAGGACTTCTTTCCGCTCTGGTGCCAATCAATGATGTCATAACGAGCTCCAAGGCACCCGAGAAAGTCTTAGCGACAGCTTCAACCGAAAGTGCTGGTGGGTGAGTATTCAACACGTTTCTAACAAAAGCTGCTCAGAATCCTTTATCAGATCACTGAAAGCTTTTTGGATGCCGGTCCAGGCTGGGTGGCAGCTTAAGTCAATTCACTCCAGCTTTCCCAGTACAAGTTAGCAAGGAAGCACTAGCGTCGATATTCGACATCTCGTTCATCGCGATCGACGTGAAAGTAACAACCTATCACCGTTACTGGGTGGAGAGGCTGATACGCCTGCGTCTAGGTGAAAGGCTCGCAAGTTACTTCGGTCCAAAGGATTCACCAAACAGCATGCCCCCAATGAACATAAAATTGAGCTTTCGATTCGTAGCAAATTTTGATGTCGAGTGCTACGAAGCATCAATCACCTATGGCGAGGAGGCAAGTGTGATGGGCTTACCATCGATCATCGCCCATCTTCCGGTAAAGCCTATATATTTTTTGGATTGGGGCATCCACAAATACGACCCTCAGGCTGCACGCACTGACCCTCCCAGATTCATTGAAAGCCAATTGTCAGTATTTCGTCAAATCAATTCATGATGAAAAACAGGATTCCTAACATTTTTGTCCGTTTTAAAAAAGACCTCGCCTTGTGGAATTTATGAAAAGCATGTTGAAACGAGCCATTCGAGTCCAAAGAGCCAAGGACCGTGCTGCTTTGCTCTACACGCCTCGGATACTCGATCACATTCAAAAGAAGGTTTCGACGCTCGAAAGCCGATCTGGGATTTATTCGGAGGCTCAGAACGACAAAGTGAAGCAACTCAGATCAAAGCTGGACATGTTTTATGCGACCCCAGCGTTCAGAATTCAGGCTGCTATGGATAGCATGATCGGAATGGTCAATCCCAACCAAGCGGTCGATTTCGCTAAGACCATCGGAGGTGTGGTCCATCCTAGCCAAGTGATCAATCTCACAAATACCTTCGGAAACGTGGGGAAGTTTGATTTGACTTCACGAGGAGAGCAATCACTCAACGAGTTGTTGCCGGTGGTAGGCGGCAAACCGAACTCTGATCCCAAAGTACCTCAGGGCGAAAGTCAAGCCGGAACATCAAAGCCCAATTTACCAGCGAAGCCACAGACCAGACTTACAATGCTGAATTTCAAATTGCCAGATATTCTTCAAGCAATATTGCTCGCAATTGTTACCGAAGTATACGGTGTATTACTCAAGTATCCGACCGGCTTGACTACGATATTCGAACGCTTTTTCGATGTTCTTTTGGAACGAATTCACCCGGATCATTCCCAGAACGCCAACTTCAGTCTATCGGGGCCTAGTCTTCCCTTCGGTATGCCGAGCTTGCCATCATTCGATGGAGCTATGGGCTTATCAGTCCCCAAACTTCCCCTAGACATGCCAAACATGCCATCATTCAATGGAACGATAGGTTTATCAGCATCCGGTCTTCCCGTCGATATGCCAAGCTTGCCATCGATTGGCTTGTCGTCGCCAATGGGCCTACCCGGCATGCCTACCATCAATCCACTCGATTCGATTTTAAAGCCAGCTGTACCCCTCGACAATGTATTATCGACAGGTACTTCCAACATCGATTTACGTCCTTCAGTCGGAAGATTGTCTAGCTCGTTAATGACTTCTGGTGCCAAATCTCCTCTCAATCTCAGAACTGTTTCCTGGGGCACAAATCCCTCGGACACGGAATGCGATGCCACGGAGACCGATCTAAAAGATTCTGCCGTTGATTCCAAGAATCGCAAGCTTTTGCCCAAGAGTCCCAAACCTAAAACCCACTTGGGCATGGCTATGAAGAACGCAGCGATCTCGAAACCTCCTCTGGAACCCATCCAGCTGGTTGGCGAAAGCTTCAAGGATCACTCGGTAGCAAATGTCAGCCAAGGAAACTTGCCCTCCTTGGGGAAAAATGATTCGGATAAAGAAAACTAAATCGACCCCCGCCATGTGTTCTTGCAAAAAAAAATATTTATCAACATGCGAATAGAAATTCAGCTGAAAGTGATCGGAGCTGTTAGCAGGAATATTGATATGATACTGGGTATCACGGAGGGCTGCAGAGCTATTTTTCTTTATCCTCAATAATCAGAATATTCTTTGTACCATTCCAGACTTAAAATTTCTCATGTATGCCGTTCCAATTCAAAACTCCCCTTCCAGTGATCAGATACAAATTTTGTAGCCATAGAGTATAGAGTTCTTCGTGTGTTTTGAACCCAGCGCTTAATGAACTGTTAATACTAATTTAAATCAAGCCGAGTATCAACACCTTTCGCGGAAATTTCGGAATCAATTGGTTAGTCGTCTTTGTTACTCGGGATTAGGACACACAGATCCACATATGAATGTGAGCAGAAAGTTGAAACGGCGGGTACGAGCAGTCGAAGCACCTCATCTTAACTCTAGTCATTAGGAATTTACTCAAGAAAGCTTAACGCAATTTGGCTGGTTGTATAAACAAGTTGGAGAAGTTTTGATGTAAGATGGGCGCGGTCCGCAACCAGCTAGTGGCCGGATGCTCCGGCGATTTCAAATTTATGGCGGGCGGAACATCGGTATATCTTCGCTCGCCGAGTTCCACGGCTTCGCGGTCGGAGGGTCCCGAGGGGTCCCCACGGGAGGGACCATGACTCGATGGGGTTCTCTTGAGTCTCTCCTACTCACGAGTCAGACTGACATCACCCAAATCTCCAACTCAACAATTGCCTCAAGGACACGACATCGACTCACGAGCAAGCTTGGTGTCCGCACGACACGACTCAAACAACATGTAAGCAACAATTATCTGCATCGTTCTGATCCGAGCTTCAGTCCCTGAGGCAAAATTCTTCAAGTACATAGCTGCAATGAGGACCCTCCTTGAAAGCGTGATCAATCTCAAAACTCATCTCAATTTATCTGCTAACTCGCCCATCCGCAGGTCCCACATCGCTTCCCAACAGACCTTCAGGCTTAGTGAGTTCCCATTTGTGCCTACTTCACAAGTAGTTTTGCCCAGGACCTTACCCGAATTAATTCATGATCATCTCTTTCTTTCTAGATCACACTATGTTCCGAATCAAGTGAGATTGAAACCAGCTGAAAAAATGAGCCGATATCAACTTAGTTTCGGAGGCTGATGCGCCCTGGATGAACTGCAATATTCGATCAGGGATCCAAAAATCAGCCTGGAATTCTACCAAGATATTTTGGGAATGAAAGTGTGTCAGAATCTATTCCATTGACTTCGTCGCTTGATTTTCGATGGATCACTAATCAAGCGTTCCCATCACATTCCTGCGTATCGGACCTGAAGTTATTACACAAAATGGAAGTCGAATCTGCTAAATTTACAAACTACTTCTTAGGTTTCCCTGGTTCCAACCAAGATTCGAAATCTTCGAGTCCACTCCACCGCGAAGGAGTTGTAGAGTTGTGTCACAATTGGGGGACCGAATCCGATCCTGACTTTTCCGGTTATCATAACGGAAATAAATCTCCGCAAGGATTTGGACACATCGCGATCACTTGCGACGATGTTGAAAAGACCTGTGCTTACTTGGAAGAAAAGCAAGTTAAAGTACGTGACTCCTCGTTCACATGTACTTTCTCTGTAAACAGAATCCGCTCTTCATCTTCACCCGAGGGTCTACTGATCACTTGAGTCATCCGCCGTGCTGAAATGTTTTGTTTTTGTGCTGCAGTTCCAAAAGAGATTGAAGGATGGTTCGATGAAAGAAATCGGTCGGTAGCCATTTTCAATGTTAAATAAGATCTCTTTGGAAGCTCCGGCGGGACTAAAGAAGCTTTGACTGTGGGTTGCCTCCTTTAGCTTTCATCCAGGATCCTGATGGCTATTGGATCGGTAAGTGTCAAAATTTCTCCAAACATCACTCTTCTTAAAAAAAACACCGGAATCCTTTTTCCGTGGATCAAGGGATAAACTTTGAATCGCTAACCCAACGCGCTTAACTACCCGCAGAAATCCTCGGAAACACCTTTTTCGACTGAAAATTCCTTGGTCCGATTCAAGGAAGCTGTAAAAGATCCATCCATTCCTCGTCTCATTGTCACATCACTTAATTGGGTCTTCAAAACGAGTGCATACAAGAAATCATCTGTCTACTGTAATTTCAACACTGCAAGGCTGTTGAATCTAGAAACACACTTCACATGTCCCTTAGATATTACTTAGCATTAGCACCTTGTTTGAAAGCTGTGACATTCATCTTATAGACAATCATGAACTTAAATTTGCCCTCCCACTTGAGTAGTAATTGAGTCACAATCTGATTGACAGCTCATAATGCATTATCTCGAACGTAGTAATCTGTTAATTAAAAAACTTGCACTTTTCAAAGGTATATTTATGGAAAATTATTTACCAACAGATCATCAGAAGCATTTCAAACTAAGCAGCCGTAATCTGTTAATTAAACAACTTACACTTGTCAAAGGGATGTTTCCGAAAACCTACCAACAGATTGTCAATTGACCGGACATTGAGACGCGAGTGCAGTGTCATAGCTTTGTGAGGAGTGAGAAGGTTGAGTTGTCATGTTTGCAACCAACCACTCTGGTTCTCAACTTGTGCCCCCCCCCCCCCCTTAGATACTGCAATGTCCTCACATTCTATTCTCAAAAAATGCCCAGAAAATGATTAACCAATTGGGGACTGTTTACCTGAAAATCAAACGCCCAGCCAGCCCAAGCAAAGATGAGAAGGGAGGGTGTTTAGAGTATACTGAGCAATGAGAAAAGAAACAGAGATTGCAAAGGAAAAATAGTAACTTGAAGGGCTGCACAACGCGTTCATAAATTAGAAGGTTGAATCAGGACACATATCCGAGGGAAGCTGGGATTGAGAGGTAGAGATGTAGATGACAACCACAACACGCTTATACTTTGAAGCATTTACATTCGGAAATAACAACCGTCCAATTACTCTTGTTCATTGGTGTTACATTTTTCTAAGCCGGGGCAAAATGACAAATACGGTGTTGTTTTTAAGTTTCAGGAATTGTTAAGGATTGGTTCAAGTTTTTCTGTCCAATTAAATTAACTGATGTTCTGACCTCAAGGCGCGCGGGAGGATGCTAGAGCCATCAGACATGAAGTTTCAGTCAAGTTCAAGACAAGATGCAATGAATGGATGTTCAGGCAATGGGTAGTATCAAGTAAATGTAGCATTAGACTCTTTGGAAGGGAATTGGTGGGTTGAATTAGATGAACGAAGTTCACACACAAACCAAAATCACTCCAGTTTTCCTGTTTCTTGGAATGTTTCGCTGTTCTTCGTCGTTGATTCTTCTTCAATTTTCAACGTCCTCCGTTCGGGTTCAGTTCGGTTATCAGTTGCGGCCCATTTCCTTAACTCGGCAAAATTTTGCTTGACTTGAGTCTTGAAATCATTGAGCTTATTTTCGATATCACCTAATCCTTTCATCATTGACTCTTCGGCATGTTTCAAAACGTCAAGCCTCTGGTCAACATCCCGGGCTTCCATCTTGATTGTTCTTCTAGCCTGTCCTTGAGCATTAACTACGCCGACCAGATTTCTAGCTACCGAATCTTCATTGGTCACCCGCGGTTTGATATCGACATCGCTTTCTGAGTGGGTGTACATGCAGTCTGGCTCGTCACTTGAAGGTGCACCTGCAGGAGCGAGTTTTTGGCGTTTAGCGTTATCCCACTCTTCATCAAAGCTTCCCGACCGTTTCGAAAGTATATCGCTACCCTCTATAGACTCTTCCTCTCCAGAATCGTGGCCCACATCTTCTCCTTTCACTCGATCAAACTCCAACGGATCGGTGTTCAGGAAGAAGGTGATTTCTGATGATAGATTTAGTCCATCACATAGAATCTTCGCGCGTGTTTTGCCAATTCGCACAGTGTCAGCAATGTGGAGTGAGTAGGTCTTTTCGGCGTCGAAAGGATCTTCAATGTTGAGAAATCCTAAGGACAACGAGAAGACCATGTTCCTCTTCAAAACGCTGAAGCAGTTTCTATTCAAATTCAACAATGGATTGTGAGGATCTACCCCAAGCTAAATAAAACCAAGTAGTTAAAATGACATTGTCAGGTTCATGACAGAATGATTATTAGTACATCACGCTCTTGTTTTATTTCTTGCAGACAAAGGGTCTTTCTTGTAAGCTTACACTGGATCCAAAGCTTTTTGGAAGACGAATCCCGGGTCGGTCGACCTTAACCTTCCTCTTAATTGACGCGTAAACTTGATGGCCAGTTACGCCTTCTTTCAGTTGTCCAAGGGCAAATCCGCGCAATTCCAGCAAATAGCTGTAGTTATCTTGTTGCGTCTGATGACAAACAACTGTTAATGAGTTGAACAGGCTGATTTAGCGGGATATAATTGAGCTCACTGGGTGTGGGTCAACCATCAGGGTGCGACGTATATAAGAGCAATACGATTTGTATTGGATTCCTAGGCCAGTCAGGAAAATTCCGGTATTCCCAAGTCGCTCGGCAGCGTGTGGGTCTGACTTGCGAAAACTATACTTGCCATTGGATCGGACTACGGGGAAGATTCGAAGACATGCGTCTCCCCTATCAAACTGTTTAAGGACACAAGGAAAATCAGAAGGGATTGATTGGACGAGACAGAAAAACTAGCGCAAGCGTCATGCTTACATTGGGCTCAAACGTAGCTCCTTCCCACATGTTACCGTTCTTGTGCTTTGCCCGAATAAGTTGTCCAACTTCTTCATTTGTTCTGTGATAGATTTCTCGGCAGCAAATTAATAAAGGCTATATAAGCACCAGCTGACCCAAAATTCAGGTAGGAATCTTGGACAACATACATATCTCTGTCACTTTTTACTAGACTGATAATTTGATCGAACAGACAAGACATTAGCTGGTGACTCATTTGACAAGCGATTTCTGTAAGTTTCTGTTGTAAAGTTGTCAAGGTCAGTGGAAAAGCCTTGCATTGAACGCAATCAAGGAGGAAAGTAAGGTGGACTTACTATCTCTTGTGGGTGCTGGATCGCCAGAATCACGGAGACCTCATCAGAAATGACGGCGGCTTCTTGATATAATGCGTACTTTCCCTCGCTTTTTAAGAAGGCCAACCATCCCTGCGCGCATGTTCAACAAGAAGAGTTAGCAACTCCAAAGAAGAAAAAGAATATCACAAGGTTTGCTTCTTACCGCCAAGCTCTTATCTTGCGACATGCGACCAATTCTCTCAGAATTTGAAATTACTGCTTCAACGCACGCCAGTAGATGTCGCATCCATGAATCACCTTTGTTCGGGTCTGGCGGCCTTACGATTACTCTCACATCAATGTTGAGACCATCACTGGAGTCGAATTCATTGCAGTGGAGCTTGGTCAAAGGCGTGAGGATTTCCGCTTGTCTGGTTGAACAAAAAAATGTGACGGTGGTAGGGGTGATAAAAATCAAGGATCCGATAAGCATATCACCAAAGAGAAAAACGTGTAATGGTCTATTGCCGCTGCGCAGAGAACCTTCGCCCATCAGGATACCTCCGCAGGATTGGAGATCTCCTGTTTCAGGCCCATCAGCACTCTGAAAGAACGTAAAATCGTGACGAAAAAGAATTGATTAGAGCGTCAATAGATAAGCAAAAAACTGGCAGGTCCAGAGAATCGTACTGACCTTCCACGACTTGATGAAGGACTCAATACGACTATGAAAGAACTGGACATCCAGTCCGCCCTCGACCCTGGAATTAGGCCACATGGTTTTTGCTTTGGACGATAGAGATTGGGATGAGCGTCGATTGCACTGCACCCTCAAGATGGCTTTCTAGTTATGGGGAGGAAAATGATGAGTTAAATTCAACCAATCAAATCTCAAAAGTTTTGAAAAGATGCATTGCCGAAGAGTTCACTCAACTTCAACGAGTGGGCCGGTTAGTTTTTTTCTGCCCACATTTCAACTGATTGTAGATGTGACGAGAGGTTAGACACACATCAGCAAGTGTCAGATTTATCGTCAAATCAAACTTACATATTTAACTGTATGGACCTGATCAACTTCGTCCAGGCATAACTTGGGCGGTAGAATCTGCAGGTCTGCTCATACCTGAAGGCGGTTCTGTCTGATTCTGTTGCTTTTGGCGACTCAGACTGGGTTGAAGATCATTACCTATGAACTGTGCTTGTTTCTATGAGGGTTACTTTTACATCTTCTACATATGATAAATATAAGTTTGTCTTACGTACGCTCCACATAATAGCAGGATGCTATATAGCAAGTCAGTTGAACTTTTGCGTCTGGGAGTCTAACGAGAAGTTCGACAGAAAAATAAGATTGAGAGTATTTCAGTGAGGAAAACTGAGATGACTCAAAGATTGCGAATTGAAGTTGTAGAAGAGACCGGAACAAAAAAAAAAGAAAAAATAAGAGCGGACACGGTCTCAAATGGATTGTTCTGATGGCGAACTTCTCAGGATTATCTTACAGCAATGTACTTGATTCTGTCTCCGGATGCAAGACATCTATCAGCTAGAATACAAAAAATACAACTTCTCAGTCGTTGTCGTATCTTGAAGATCGTTCTAGGACTCAAAAACGCGTGGGAGACCTGTGTGCGCTTGAGTAGATATGGTGCTAGTTCTTCAAGAAAGAGAAACTTGTAAACTGAAACAGGGAGAAGCAGCTAGTAGCTTAAAGTGGGATGAGATGAATTGTGTTGGATTAATTTGAGAAATCAAGAGATGATAAATTCCATGGAAGAACTTAAACAGATGCCAGAATGATGACGGTTGAACCGGGAAGGTTACTGAGATTGGCGGCGGATGTAAACTGGGAAACCAAGTCTTCATCCACTAGAAGTTATCTCCCCTGGAAAGGGAGGAGCTTTGGGCGGTGTGCACCAGAGCTGGGTTCAGTATCCGAGTAAAAAAGGCTGGAGCTACCAGTAGTATTCCAGCTTGATCTTTGAACTTTGGATGATGAAGCTGGAGTGAATCCCATGTCCGCTACTCGACTGCCAGAATCTCCAGAGCCAGAGCGCTACTCCTGCTCTGCCTCATCAGTAGGTTTTGCTTGAGAGTTGGTACTGACGTGCACAACTCAGTAGTTCTCAATGACAAAACAAAGCAGATAACCAGATGTTACAGACAGCTTTCCATTGTTAGTCAAATATCCTGAACTTTCTCTAACTCAACTGTCAAAATAGAAGCACAAAAGAAGTGAACTCGGTTTTTTTGTATTTGGAAATTCAACAGCAAGCCAATCGAAGTGAGGAGTTGAGAAGGAGGGAATCATTCACAGTTTATTGGGCGGTCAGATAAGAAATAGAGGTTCAAGGGGACAACATTTGTACAACCAATCAGACCGTATGTTTAGGTAGGAAGGTCAAAATGGAGAAATTTATTCAAAGAAAGCTGGAATTGAGAGGGGACTACGTAGGTGGGAAACACATCATAATGACACTTTGGGATTTTCACATTGAGAAGTAGTGATCATTCAAGTACTTCAGCTTCTTGGTTTAGCGCTTTTCTCAGTCGATATCTTTAGTTTTTAGTAAGAGTCATTTGTTCCCGATGTTGTACGTCCGATCAAGGTTGGCGGATGTTTTGGCGCTTAAAGACGTCCAGGAAGATTCTGGAACCAAAAGGCATGGAGTGTCAGTCAAATTCAAGATAAGATGGAACATAAGTTCAGGCAGTGAGTGGTAAATGAAGCATTCAAGACCCTTTGAAAGGGAGTTTAACAAGAATACCATAATGTTAAGGATGAGTATCACGCACATCTTCACGTCACTCCAGTTTTCCTATTTCTTGAAACACTTGGTGGTTCTCCGTTGTCCATTCTTCTTGAAATTTCAACATTCTCTGTTGGTGGTCAGTTGGGCTATCTGTTGCTACCGATTTTCTCAACTCGGCGAAATTTTCCTTGATTTGACTTTTGGAATCATTAAGCTTATTTTCAAGATCAGTTAATCCTTTCATCATTGAATCCTCGGCTTGTTTTAGAACATCAAGCCTCTTGTCGACATCAGGGGTTTCGCTCTTGTTCGCTCTTGTCGATTTTTGTTCATTTCCTCGGTTTTTCATGGGTTGGATATCGCCATGGCCTAGACCGGCCCGCTTTTTAGCTGTTGAATATTCGCTGCTCACCCGCGGTTTTGTATCGATACCGACATTTGAATCGCCGCCCGGGCAGTCCGAGTCGTTACTTGAAGGTGCCGGAGAATTTTTTTGACGTTTTCGTTCTTCCCCAGAGCTTCCCGACCTTTTCAATACCACTTCTCTACCCCTCGAAGAATGTACCTTCTTAGAATTCTGGCTGCAAGCTTCGACTTTCACTTGATCAGTCTTTGATGGATCGCTGTTCACAAAGAAAGTGATATCTGATGGTTCTCTCAATCCATCGGAGAGAATGATCGAACCATTTTCGCCAATACACACGGTGTCCGTAATATGAAGGGAGTATTTACTTCTTCTGTCAAAGGGATCTGTAATATTGAGAAAGCCTAAGGACAATGTGAAGACCATATTCCTTTTCAAAACGGCGGAGCAATTTTTCGTCAAGTTTAATAATCGCTTTTGAGGATCTGCGCCTAGCTAGATGGTAATCAGCAATTGAAATGACAATATGGTCAAGTTGATAGGAACATCAGCATCACCGCGGTTCAATTCTACTTTTGGCAGATGAGGAATCTTGTAAGCTTACACTGGATCCAAAGATATGTGGAAGATGAAGCCCGGGTCGGTCGGATTTTGCCTTTCTACTGACCAAAGCGTAAAATTCATGGCCGGTTACCCCTTCTCTGAGTTCTGTAAGGGCGAACCTGTGCAACTCTAGCAAATAGCTGTAGTTTTCTTGTTGCGTCTGGTAACAAACGAATCAACGATTGTCAACGAATTGACTATCCAGATCTTGCAAGAGTTAATCAACTCACTGGGTGTGGATCAACCAGGAGACTACGACGTATGTAAGAGCCATACGATTTATATTGGATCCCCAAGTCAGCCAGAAATACTCCAGTGTTACCAAGTTGCTCGGCACCGATTGGGTCTGACTTGCGAAATCTCCAGCTATCACCACCAGCCCGAATTACGGGAAGGCTACGAAGGATGGCGTCTTGCTTGTTAAACTAGTTATGAATGTCGAAAAAGAAGGTCAGAAAGAAGATATTGCAAGGCGTGGAAACAAAATATATCACCAGCGTTGAGCCTACATCGGGTTCAAATTTGGCTTCTTCCCAATAACTGCCATCATTATGTTTTTCCCGAATGAATTGAGCAATTTTCTGACTAGTTCTGTTGATAATTTCCCAAAACACAATCAATCGAAGCGAGCGAAACGTATCAGTTGAGTGAAACTTTCAACTTAGGAATCCGGATCAAGACTCAACATACATTTCCTCACCCTCCTCTATCAGACTGATCAGATGTTTGGACAGAAGGGACATGAGTTGGAGACTCATTTGACAAGCGATTTCCGTACGTTTCTTGAGCAGCATTGGTAAGGTCAGTGAGTGATCAAGATAACCCGGCACACGATAAGGTAGAAAGGTAAGCAGAACCTACTATCTCTTCTGGGTGCTTGATCGCCAGAATTGCAGACATCTCATTGGAAATGATGGTCGCGTCTTCATATAACGCCCCCTTTCCCTCGCTTTTCAAGAACGACCTCCATCCCTGTGCGCAAGTTTGACGAGACGGGTTAAGAGCACCATCAAATAGAAGAAAGAGACCACTGAAGTCAGGTTCTCACCGCCCAGCTCTGATCTTTCGACATGCGACCAATTTTTTTAGAATTTGAAATTACTGCCTCAACGGAAGTCAGGAGATCTTTCATCCATGAGTTTCCCGATTTCGGTTCTGCTAGCTTTACGAGTAATTTCACACAGATGTGCTTTGATTGATCCTGGCGAGGTTTGGCTAAAGGTGCGAGAACTTCCGCTTGCCTGGGTGAACAGATGAATGTGATGGTCGTAGGGGTGATAAAAATCAGTGTTTCGATCAGCCTATCTCCAAAAAGAAAGTCGTGCAATGGTTTGTTCCCCGCGCGTGTAGGAACTTCGCCCATCAGGATGCCTCCGCAGGATTGTAGTTTTTCGGTATCAGGCCCTTTGGCAGCCTGGAAAAACGTAGAAATATGATGGGGGGGTGAAAGATGAGAGAATCAAAACCAACGTTAGCAGTAGATAAGCAAAAAATAAGACTGCTAGACCGCCCATCACACAAGCCCAGAAAATTGTGCTGACCTTCCAAGACTCGATAAAGAACCCAAGCCGGCTATAAACCAAATCGACATCCAATGGGGTTCTGAGTCTGCTATGAGGCCACATGTTTCTTGTTTTAGACGATAGTAACCGGAATGACAGTCGATTGCCTTAAAGCTTCAAGATGGCTTTCTACTTGGAGGGAGGAAAACGAAAAGTTGAATCTGTGTTCAACCAAACAACTCCCCAAGATTTTGAAAAGATAGATACTTACATATAGAAGAGTTCACTCAATTTCAACGACTGGGCCCGTCAATCTTTTCAGCCCAAATTTCAACTCATCAAACGGGAGGTTAGACATACATCGGCAAGTGTCATAGTAAGAGTTCGTCCAGGCATAATTTGGGCGGGAGAGTCTATCTGATGCTACATGACGGTTGTGCTGCTTGCAGCTATTGTGTACTTGCAGCTATGTACTCAGACCTATTAACCAAGTTTATGCTACGCTCCAAAGAAGTGCTATTCTGAAAATCTAACAAAAAGTTTAAAAGAAAAAATACAAGTGAGGGTATTCCAGTGAAGAAACATGCTTAAATTATTTCTGTATATCTCCTGGCTCAGGCGATTTTTGCTGATAGGACTCACAGATTGCAGATTGTGCAAGATGATAAGGCTGGATACGGTCACGACTCACGAGTGGAGTCGCCACTACACAGATTGTCTTGATGGTACACTTCTCAGGATGTTCTTAATATGTATTTTTGACAGACATCTGTTGGCTACCTTGTGAAAAACATCGCTCTGGGACCCAGGAACGTGTGGAAGACCTTTGTGCGCTTGAGTTGAGATGGTGCTGTCTCCTCAAGTGAGAAGCTTGTGAACGGCAAAAGGAAGGAGCAGTCGGCAAGGTTAAGTGGGATAAGATGAATTGTGTTGAGTTGATAAGAGAAATCAAGAAATGATAAAATCCATGGAAGAAATTAAACAGATGTGAAAATGACGAAGGTTGAACCGGGAAGGTTAGACAGCATCTCACTTCTTCTGAGTCAAATTGGAAAAAACGAGAGTGATCTTGGCTGGGGGTGGTTATAAAAAAGGGAAAAAAAGTAGTACAATTACGATTTTGCTTAGCATCTTACAAATTATTACGATACAAAATTCTGGAAGATAAAGAAATTGACGGGAGAATGTTGGGAATACTATCGATCAAAATACCAAACTTAAAAAGTAACGGTGGTTACATTGCCTTGGGCCGAACCTTGGAAGGAGCTCTTATCGACAACATCCAAAGTGAATCGAGCTACGACTTCTTCGATTTCTCTTTGACGTCCAAGCGTAGGGGAATCGACAGAACTGGAAGGGTCTGAGGATGCTTTGTGGGAACGGGAGAACGGCTTGCTCTCGATGATCTGAATGGAAATCGGGCCGGCATCGATCTTTCGAGGAATGCCCCAAATCTAAAATAAAGAAAACAGTTGTTCGAATTAGTGACCCAGTGTCGACTATTGCAGCTCAAGTCATAAGTTCACTTACTTCACATTCGCTTGCATCAAAGTGGAGCCAATCTGGGAGTTGTTTGCGATCCAACTCTGGCTGAGTAGGGTAGTCCGTCAGCGCGTAGTAGGTTTGAACATCACCTAAGGCCAGGCTATGCTCCACGCCATCAGCTCCGATGTTCGTTTGAGGCTTCACACTGGGTGTCATATGGAATGGTTCACCAACTCCAATACTAAACGACGCTGATTCCCCTACAGGAGTAGGATTCGAAAGAGCTTGAAGGGCGTTTGAGCTTGCATTAAAACTTTCCGCCGTATGTGATTCATACAACGGACTGTGGGAGCGAACCGAGCTGGTTACACCATTGATATAATTTTTGGACAATGGGGACGGCTTGGAGGTTTGGAATCTGTTTTGATCTGAAGGAGCAAAAAATATAGCAGATGTGGCGGGAGATCCAGGCTTGGATGCGCTGGGTTCAAACCGATATTGATCCGATTGCATGCTGAGTCTTTGACGTCGAAGGTGGGAGTCTGAGCCACTGGGATTGGCGGCGGACGCAGACGGGGCAAGCGAGTCTTCATCCACTAGAATTTGTCTGCCCTGGAAAGGGATGAGCTTTGGGCGATGTGCACCAGAGCTGGGTTCACTGGACCCTACACCGGAGGCGGATGAATAATCAGCGGTGATCCTACGATAACTAGCTGTTTTGATGGCCCCAATCGACTCAGAGCATGCTTTGACGTCTTCATCAGTCATCGAGCGGGCTGGGCTGGAGCTTGTGCCATCATTCACAACCATCCGAATCGTACCTACATCCACGTCTTCGGCAGATGATGCAGAAGGTGAGGAAAAGTCTTGATTCGCTAGTCTGGGACTGGGTACGAAATCCTTGCGTCTTCTAGGGGTGGATCCCGAAGGAGTTTCTAGCCACCTACCGCTTCGGGAGGAGGAGCCGAGATCGCTTCCATCGCCTTGAGTATCAGAGTAAAAAAGGCTAGAGCTACCAGTAGTATTCCAGCTTGATCTTTGACCTTCAGATGAAGAAGCTGGACTGACACCCGAGTCCGCTACTCGACTGCCGGAATCTTCAGAGCCAGAGCGCCACTCCTGCTCTGCCTCATCGGTAGGTTTCGCTTGAGAGTCGGTACCAACATGAACAACTCGGTAGTTCGATTCAACGATTCCTAATCCTTGAAGAGAAGGCGGTTGGGTGGGGGAGAAATTTCGGTTGGCGGAGGGCTTTGTGAAAACATTAAACACGTCAAGGCGCTTGAGACCTGACTGTGGGGCGGGTTCGCTTCCTGCAATTGTCATCTCGGTCTGAGTGATCGCCATCATGGGCCCCCCAATACCAGCTTTTGAGTTCCAGGCGGGAGAGCGAGGGTCGATTAAGGTATCACCTACGCTATACGGGGTGCCTTTGATCGGACTTTCAATAGATTTCTCTCCATCTTTGGCGTTGGCGTAGGTGTAGTATGGGTGGTACACATCTTGAAAGCTTTCTCGTTTACCGTCCGCGGAGCAGTGAGTTCGACATGTTCTCATGATTAAGATCAGCAAGATGATACCCCCGAGAGTACCAAAGATGATTATCAACCACAACTTCACACCAGCCGGAAGGCCCGACCTCATGTAGTAGCTACCATCCTTGCTTGATTCCGTAGCAAAAATAACAGGCAAGTGAGCAGTTGACCTCAACCCATTTAATCCAGAGGCCTCTAAGTCGATATCAATTTTCTGGTCCTTGCTGTCTAAGGTCGTAGGGGCTTTACCAGAGATTGTCAACGGATGGTCGGTGAATTGGAGCCACGAACTAACGCTCGACGGTGTGATGCTTCCGAGGGAATAAGTCGCGTTGAGATTTGAAGTGTACTGGGACAAGTTGAGGATGAAGTTCTCTCCCGGATGAATATATAGTGGGGGTAAAACTGGTGCGGTGAAGAGTCCAGGGACCACGCGTAAGGAGAGCGTGGTTGATACGATGTTGTGGCAATTTGGGGTAGAAAAGGTGATGGGAATCGAGACGTTGGCAAATGGAGCAAGAGATGTGGGTAAGGTTCCACTGATCGAAAAGTGAGTTGGGTCGTATGTGAGGAATGGTGTTTGAGACAAATCTACTTTGGCGCTGATAATTGTTGAGGAGTTCTTCGAGGCGCCATCAATTGTGAAGGCATCAAAGGGAATTGTGTAATTGACAATGCTTTGTGCAGTCGCATTGAGAGGAGGAAGTGGTGCAAGCAGATCCAAGAGGTGCGCAGAGACCGTGATTCTGAAGGTTTGCTGAACATCGCCATAGCCAAAGTAGTCACTACCATAAACGACAATTAAGGTGTCCTTCTGTTCATTGGGACTGACGCCGTCAAAAGTAGCGGTAGCGGCATTGAATTTGATCCAGCTTGGTAGACTTGTTGTACCTGCTTCATAGGCTGTATAATAAATTCCGGTCTTGCGGTCGGCAACAAAAGTATCCCGGAGTAACCCGACAGACCAAGACCAACTAGGCGGAACGCTGATGCCTTCCGTGGAATGATCATACTTGGCTGATCCTAGGACGGCACCGTTTCCCAGTTGACTTTGAAGAGGTAGTTTGACGGTGGGTGCCTGTCCGTTGGCTACGAGGAGTCGGAGGGTGTCGGATACTGAGCCTGAGTTCGCCGAGTTGTACGCCCTGACGGTGACAGAGGAAATGCCCAAGTCGGAACCGGTTGGTGTACCGCTGAAAGTTTGCGTTTCTGGTACAAATGTGGCCCACGATGGAAGATTTTCAACCTTGAATGTCATTCCATTGGTGCCAGTCGATGTGTTAAAGGTGCCGGGAAGTAAAGACCAGGAGAACGAACGGCCAACACGTGCTACTGGAAGTCGCTGACTTCGAATCGGATAGACGACTAGGGGTGCGTTTGTGGCTGATGGTGCGGACAGGCAGGTGGAGAGAAGAGCTGATAACGAAAGTAGCAGAAGCGTCCGCTTCATGATTGCACACATTTCCCGATAAAAATTAAAATAACAAGGTCCTTGTTATACTGAAAGTGCCGCAATGGTGGCTACGCGAATTGATGACCTATTTTGATGGACATTATCAGTAAAAGTGCTCAAACCGGCAACTTGGTTAGACAAAGACTGCTTACCTCAAAAGACGCGTAAAAAAAGTTCAAGAGAGTGAGGTAGCTTGTGAAGTGGGTGGAATTGCCGGAGTAGGCTTGATGGTATGTCGATGATGGTGGTTATGTTGAGGAGAACACGAGTTAAGTTGGTGATTCGAGGATCAAGCACAATGAACGATTGATAAATAAGACTTAACAGAAAACAGTAAAACAAGAAGAAACAGATACTTAATGAAGGGATTAGGAAGAGTTCAATGAAGTAAGATAAAATTTGATGATGATTTTGATGGGCGAAAAGGAATTGATGGTGTTGAGGATTTAAGTACTTGAGTCCAATCTTGACAATCATGCCAGTTGTTTACCAAACGCGAAAGCAATGACATCGAGAAGTGATCACCGATGCTCTTGTCATGCGTTTGATTTGAAGACGGACCAAGCTGCCGCCCTTGAAACTCAACTGATCAATCCGATGTGACTGGCCTCGTAGATTGCCAAGCAAACTTCTATCCATAACAAACAGTGGTACATGGGTCAGTGCAAAGACTATTGTGCCTGGCCTTGGGCAGTCAAGGGGTGCGGAGTGCCGCTCGGGTGGTGAACTCCAAACAAGGGATATCAGTGCCAGGGGACTCCGGGCCGCCATCACGGGAGCTCGTTGGAGCCAACTCCCGAGTCCCAATGATACTAAGTATCATGTTGGAAGTTGCCCAGTTAATTGAACACGACTCTTTTATCGCCTCCGCATCAAATGCTTATGTTGAATTGTGCCCACATGCACAAATCAAAACTATTCCAATCCGGACCGCACATTCAGAGGACACCCAAGCCAGGAGGGCAAGCTCGCCAAAACAATGATTTTTGATGTTATTGACTGGTGGCCGGCCACAATACTGTTAGCCTGCTGCACCTGAGTCCTGATCATGTAAGGCAACGCGCCGGAGTCCGCGAGAGACGTAACGCAAGCGACATCGGCCCGAGATGAGGCGGATCTAGTTTTTCATTGATACACAAATTAGAAATGCTTCCACCAGATGGAATCTTCACTGTGAAAGAGTAAGAGAACGCGCACCTTGACTGTCGATAAAGAACAAGAGCACAAGTTTTGAGAGAAATTCTGCAATGACGAGCAACAGAAAATGTTCAAGCCCGATGGAGGATGTAGATACTGATGATAGAGGTTCGACTCACCGATGCACCATGGATCCCAGCTTATACGGAACAGAAGGCTTGGTCATCATGCGGATGTCATGCTTTCTTGTCTTTGAAGGCTTAAGTTTGGTGGCGTCCACCAAGATGGTTTGTCCTTGCTCCCAGAGATAAATTTGAACATAAGTTCAGTAGCATCAATTGTCAGCTCCAAAGCCCTTCCTGGAATGCAACAGTCACATTCCTACTTGATTCAACAAGCAGCAAACATGTGGTTACCTTGTTTTATCCAACAGCTAAAAAATGAAACTCATGGCCAGCTAATTCAAATTCACAAGAAAATTCCTAAAATTTTCAGCCAACTTGATCATGATCCATGAGCCTATTGTATGGAGCATTTGAAAGGATATGTATGGATTTGTAAAATTGAACATATGAAGCAGTACTGGCAATTAGAACACAAAAAGATCACTTCCCCAACTCTCACCCTGGAGTGGGAATAAAAACCAAGCAGCACTCAAAGATCCTGACAGCTGAGTTCTGTTTGAGAAAGGAAGTGGGTTTTGAAGCTGAAAATTTCACAAAAGAAATGGATTTGAGTTCTCCTATGGATTTTTGCTATTCCTTTTGATAACTAGACATACAACTGAGCTCAAAGTAGGGGTTTTGTAAAGTCTATTTTCTGGGGGAAAATGGTTATGTAGTGTCATGATAGATTGCTCCACTTGAACATAATAATTTCCTGTGCATAAAAATGAAAATGAAGATGGATTAATTTTCTTCAATAGGGGGGTTCACAATTGAAATGTATAGAGTCTTTCCAGTCAATTTTAAGCTCCTTATCAGCAACATTGTAGAATTTTGACAAGATGCACAGCTTTTGGGGTTTCTGAACAATCAGAACACCTTTTTCATTTTCCAAAAAGTTCTTGAGAAACACCTTAAAATGGGCTTTAAAAATTGTGTAAATTTCAATTGTGAACCCCCCTCATGAGTTCAACTTTTCTGTTCAAGGCACTGATTCATAAAAACAATTTGGTATCCAAATGGGCTCCTCCACACTGATGCACCAATATTTTTTGTTTGAGTTGCTGATTTGATGCGCATGTATCATCTACGGGGGTCTGTGACAGTTTTGTGGGAAGCTTTCACCTGTTTATGTGTGACAGGGATGTGTGTGGTGTTGTTGTCGTTGACTACGTCGTGGGGACCAGTAGGTCGCTCGACCAGTTCCAGCGGAGTACCACCACATTCCCTGTTGACCGTCATCATCCCATCCGATCGAACTTCTTCCTCTTCAAACATCTCGGCAACCGATAAGAACACTCAGGTTCATCCTATCAGTGAGTCCAGATAGGAATGTTCTGTCATGCATCAGCGTCCCTGCGTTTGGTTTAGCCGGTCTGATCGATCGAAATTATGCTGACTGACGTACTGACCGATTTCTCACCCACAAGGTTTATCATCCTCAACATATCGCTAAGGCAATCACGGATCCCATCGCATCGATAATCCAGGAATGCTGCTAGATATCACTCGAAAGCTTCTCACACGCTCTGGTCGGTCTTCGCTCTCGATCGGCATTCGCTTTTTGTGCAATCGTGCAGCTTGTCCTCTGACTGAATTGCCTCCTCTGGATCTTAACTATTGCAGAACGTGTGAAAAGTGTTGACTTCCATCCCACGGAACCATGGCTCTTGGCTGGGCTATACTCTGGAAAGGTTTTTGTCTGGCACACTGAGACAGGCGTTCGTCTCTTTTCCATCCTTTCCTCTAGGTTTAGATCATTACTCGAGTGTTGGGTCTAATTAATTGTTTAATGTATCTGTACAGGCACTTTTAAAAACATTCACACCCACCGAGGTTCCAGTGCGATGTGCTCGCTTTATTGCTCGCAAAAATTGGTTTGTTTGTGGATCAGGTACATTTCCCCGATCACACTACATTGATACTGCGGCTCATCACTGAAGAATCGTTGATTTAAAATCGAATATAGACGATTTCCATCTCCGCGTATTCAATTACAACACATCTGCCCGTGTCGCTGCATTTGAGGCCCATCCGGATTACATCCGGTTAGCGATTGTTCTTTTTCTATATGGATGTCAGAGAGTCTTAGCGTTCAGCGCTGACTGATACTTGATGTTCCAGTTGCTTGGCTGTTCATCCTACCCAGCCGTTGGTCTTGACGGGGAGTGATGACATGACGATCAAACTATGGGATTGGGATAAATCCTGGAAATGCCTTCAGGTTTTGTCACTCACATTTCATCTATCTTACTTCATTCACCTTGACTGATGACATATCGTGAAATTTTGTTTCAGGTTTTTGAAGGACACACTCATTACATCATGAATTTGGCGTTTAACCCGAAGGATTCCAACACTTTTGCATCCTCCTGTCTAGATCGCACTGTGAAGGTCTGGTCGCTGGGATCTCACACTGCTAACTTCACCCTCGATGCACACGAGAAAGGTGTCAATTATGTTGAATACTATCATGGTGGAGACAAACCTTATCTAGTGACTACTGGGGATGATCGGTGAGCATTCTGGCATACATTTTAGCCAGTGTATAACCTTCAAAGCATTTCGACAACCATATGCACATGCATGTATTTGTTGAATCAGAAACATCATCATTTCCAGATCAAAATACTACTCGTCAAATTCTACGCTCGTTTATTAAAGATCGCACTGACAAATTTGTCTTATCATTTTCATGCTTTACTATTCACCTACAGGCTCATTAAAATTTGGGACTATCTCTCTAAATCCTGTATACAAACCCTAGAAGGTCATCAATCCAACGTTTCCTACGCTATTTTTCACCCCTCGCTGCCAATCATTATTTCGGGCTCCGAAGATGGCACAGTCAAGATCTGGCATTCCTCAACTTATCGACTTGAAAACACTCTGAATTATGGATTGGAGCGAGCCTGGTGTGTCACTTACGGCAAAAAGGGAAACGATATTGGCTTGGGATTTGATGAAGGCTCGGTGGTAGTCAAACTCGGACGAGAAGAACCTACCATCAGCATGGACGTTGGTGGCAAAATAGTCTTCACCAGGAACGCAGAAGTCTTAACTTGCAATGTCGCAGCTGCTCAAGGTAACTTGTTCACATGAACTCTTATGTTGAATAATGTGGTACTTATTATTACTTGGGCTTGTAGATCTTGAAATCCCTGATGGACAGAAGTTGAACATACAAGTCCGTGAGCTTGGAACCACCGAGGTGTTTGCTCAAACGCTCCAGCATTCACCGAATGGCCGATTTGTGACGGTGTGCGGAGACGGCGAGTACATCATCTATACGGCTCTGGCGTGGCGAAATAAGGCGTTCGGTACCGGTCTCAGCTTCGCATGGGCAGCTGATTCAAATACATATGCGGTCAGAGAAACTGCAATGAAATTGAAGGTTTTCAAGAACTTCAAGGAAAATGTCGATCTTATCCGGACGGGGTATGCTATGGAGGGTCTCTTCGGGGGAGCACTGTTGTGTGTCAAGGGCAGCGGGTTCGTCTGCTTTTACGATTGGGAATCGGGTTCACTGGTTCGAAGGATCGAAGTAGAAGCTCGGGATGTGTTTTGGTCGGCATCAGGAGAACATGTGGCGATAGCCGGCGAAGAATCACTGTACATTTTGAAGTTTGACCAACAAGCATACTCAGACTTCTTGGCAGAGGGCGGTGAACTAGGAGACGAGGGAGTGGAATCAGC